GCGACAGCAGCCTAACTCGTAAGCCCGCGCGGCGCGCGATCAGCGCATCCATGTTCCGAGCGGAGCCTTGCGCATGCTCGCGCGCCGTGCGCTGACTGGTCAGGCCGGCTGTCGATCGGAATTCAGAGCAGGCGGGGCCTGAAGGGAAATGAACGAGGTAGCTCCTGCGTTCTGGGTTAGTAGAGGCCCTGGGGCCCTCCGACTTTCTTCCGGGTAGGTGATTTATTCCGTGATCAATCCGGGGGAAAAAGCCTAGTTGAGGCTTTCAGATTACCCTTCTGGCTCCTAGGAGCCGTATGATCTAAAGCACCGCCGGGCCAGGGATTTAGCTCAGTGGTTGCGCCCCTGCCTCGCAGGCTCAAGGTCCCGGTTCCATCTCTGGTACCACAAAAAAAAAAAAAAAAAAAAATCACCAGCGTGCACCGTCTTGGAAGGTGAGTTGGGAAGAAAAAAGGAAATACTACTACAAGCTTTGGTCAGGTAAACCCATTTCAGAAAACAGCCTACACCACGTGATGGTGCAGGCCTTTGATCCCAGTACTAGGGAGGCAGAAGCAGGAGGATCACAAGTTAAAGGCCAGCCCAGGCTGCATAGCAAGACCTCGTCTCAGAGACAAAAAAAGAAAAAAGAAATGTCGCGAACCGGCGACGCAGAGCACTGTCCCGCAGTGCCTCAAACCTGAAAGAGCAGCGGGGTGGAGATGGGGCAGAGAGAAAGGAAGGACGCCAAGACAAGAATCTGATCAAGGCGACATTTATTGCAGGCAGGCATCAGCCTTTTAAAGGAAAAGACCGAACTATTATGGGCTAGGATTACCATAGTAACCTCAACACCTGCTCCTATAGATAACATCAGATCTTTAACATAACAAAATGGAGTTAACAACACCTGACTCCTACAGATCTTTGGCTGTCTGGGTTTCTCCCGTGCAGGCAAAACAAGTTTAACACGTGCAGTCCTTAAAAAGGAACAAATGTTGTCTTTCAAAAAGCCAGTGGGCTATGGCTGGCTTCCCACAAAGAAACACATAAAATCCGGTGCATAAATTTCCAAGAGAAAAACGCCAGAAGCAGAAGGAGGTTCACTATGGCACTGTTTAAAAAAATCTAAAATCTAGAGGCATAAATTGTGGTGAAATCTACAGGGAACATTAATACATCGTTATTTATTGTGGGGTGGTACTGGGGACTGAATCCAGTGCCTTTGCACTGAGCTACAATCCCAATGCTTTTTTAGTGTTTTTATTTTGAGAAAAGGCCTCATTAAATTGCTCGTGGGTGGGTGTGTGTGTGTGTGTGTGTGTGTGTGTGTGTGTGGTGGGGGGTCAGGGATTTGGCTCTGGTTCTGCCACCTGCCTTGCAAGTGCAAGGGCTGGCGTTAGATCCCAGTACCAAAAAAAAAAAAAAAATTGCTTATGTGGGTCTTGAACTTGTGACCCTGCTGCCTCACCCTCCCAAAATGCTGGGATTACAGGATGCACCACCTTGCCTGGCACGAGCATGTCTTTTGCTGAATGTTAACTCTGTGCCAGGCCCTGGCATCTGCGTGCTAGAAATACAGGCCTCCAAGTCTCAGGCCCCACCCGGAAGTTCTGGAAATGGGCAGAACTAGAGTAGCTGTCACTGCCCATCTTGTGCAAGGGTAGAGAGGAACAAAGGCAAGTGGGGGGAGGCTTCTGCTGGTGCTGGGTAAAGAACAAATAGGACACAGGGTGTGGTAGTGCTCGCCTGTAATCCCAGCCCTGGGGAGGCTGAGGCAGGAAGATCACTGTGAGTTTGAGACCAGCCTTGGCTACATAGTGAGTTCCAGGTCAGTCTCAACTACATAGTGAGACCCTGTCTCAAAAAAAAAAAAAAGAACAAACGAGTTCATCCAGAAAGGCGGGAGCACAGAAGGAAGAGCAGAGATGTGAACTCACGTAGGGATCAAAAATTGGTTCTGCCCTACAACTACAGAGAAATGACATGCTGCCCATGCCGTGTGGTCAAAATGTGGGGAATGTTTTCGTGTTTAAAAATGAGTACAGCAAAAGACACATTGCCCTAAGACCTCATCAAAATCTTTCCCCTCAGGGCAGGGGATTTAGCTCAGTGGTTCCGCTGTCTGCCTTACAAGTGCAAGGACCCAAGTTCGATCCCTGGTACCACAAAAACAAAAAAATTTCTCCCTCTTTGCATGGTCCTGCCAACTTCTGAAGTCCTCTCTCCTGAGTGTCTTTATGAAATGTGACAAAAATGCAGTGGATGCCGTTGTGCGCCATCCAACAGACAGGCAGCTCCTGAAAATGACACTGCCCTCATCCTTGTTACTCACTGGACCTGACATCATAAGACTTCTGGCTCTTCCTCAAAGTCAAAATGGCTGTGAGAGGGGAGCATTATGAATCCATCAGGACATGGAGGCAGCCAGGACTGTGCAACTAAACACTCACTGTACTTTAAAAATACATCATATATGTTTTATGTATTTATTAAGAGCACTATGACCTTGAATTCATTGTTTGAATTAGCAAAAGATTGTAAGTAGCTGGGTGTGTGGTGGCAGGAGCTGTGATCTCAGCACTCTGGGAGGCTGAGGAAGGAAGATTCCAAATTTGAGCCCAGCCTAGGCAACTCAGTGTTTTAGGGAGACCCTGCCTCCAAAAAAGGGGGTGGGGGAGCTAGGGATGTGCAAAAATCCTGGGCTCAATTTCCAGCATCACAAATAAAATAAAATAGCAAAGTGGAGGAACCTGTGATTAGAATATGCATATGTGTGTATACGTTTATTTATTTGTATGCTTTAGCGTATGTGAAGACACACACAAGATGCTGCTTACTGCTCCTGAAGGGATCAGAGAGGCGCTGCAATGCTGTGGGCCCCTCTCTAATGTCTCTGAACCTACTCCTGAGATTCCTGTTGGTGGTGTGTGGAGGTGGGGCCTTGGGAAATAATGAGGACTATATGAGGCCCTGCAGGTGGCTCCTGCCGTGGCTCTGGGCTCCTGTCTGCGGGGAACACTGCACTGTAGATCACTATGGCCTGGCCTAACTCCGCTCCTCCTTCGGATGAGGCAGGGCCCAGGAGAGGAGAACAGGCAACAAGAGAGCACGGTGGAGCAAGGCCTGGCCCAGAAGAGGACAGGGGATGTGTCTTCCTCGCAGTCCATTGCCCATAATACCATCAAAGCATGATGTGTCCTGCAGACCTGAGCCACTCTCCCACCTCTGGTTACAGATCAGCCTCTTTACCTCCTGCTGCAATTCCCTTATCTCCACCACTGTACGCAAACACACTGCAGTTCCCAGGCGGTCCTTTTCTCCCATCAGGAGGAAGGCTCCACCTGGCCTCAGCTTTTCATATCTCTTTCTTCTTTTCTTCATCCCCCACCGTTCTCCCTCCATGGGCCCTCCAGCCCCACAGGCCATGGCACCCATCCCAGCTCACGTCTCTGCCCCCATATGACACAGCTAGATACCAGCTCCACACTCTGGGGACTGAAAGATCCAAAGAAATCTTACAAAATTATAATTTTATCATTTACCTAGTTTCAGGTGTTTTTTTGTTTGTTTGTTTTTTATTTTGTGTGGGGATTGAACTCAGGACCTTGTGCTTGTGAGGCAGGTGTGCCACTGAGCTATATCCCCGGCCCTATTCAGGTATTTTGTTGTAGCAACAGAAAATAGACTAAGATGAAAGGGAAGATGATTGTTTTTTCCCTTTGGAACTTTTTGTTGCCTTTGGTTTTGGAGACAGGATTTTGCTATGTAGTGCAGACTGGTCTTGAACTCACTACATGACCCAGGCTGGTCTCAAACTCACAGCAATCCTCCTGCTTCAGCCTCCCAAGTGCTGGGATTACCGGTGTGTGCCACTAAACGAGCTGCCCTTTGAAATTTCTAAAATTTTTATTTTATTGATATAGTTCTCTCTCTCTCTCTTTTTTTTTTTTTTAGGTATGGGGATTGAACTCAGGTCCTTGTGCTTGCGAGGCAGGAGGCAGAACCACTGAGCTAAATCCCCAGCTAGTTCTCTTTTCTGATGAATATATTTTCTTCCTTCCTTCTTTCCTTCTTTCTTTCTTTCTTTCTCTTCTTTTCTTTCTTTCTTTCTTTCTTTCTTTCTTTCTTTCTTTCTTTCTTTCTTTCTTTCTTTCTTTCTTTCTTTTTGTCTTTGTGATATTGGGGATCAAACTCAGGACTTTGTGCTTGCAAGGCAGGTGGTAACACCGTTGAGCTATATCTCTGGACCTCTTTCTTTTTTTTTTCCATTCTGGGGTTCAAACTCAGAACCTTGCACTTGCCAGGCAGGCGTGGCACCACTGAGCTACATCCTTAACCTGAATGTGTTTTCTTTAAAGAATTGCTCAATGAAATTTAAGTACATAAAATGCACTAGTTTTAAATATGCATTTAAAAATATATGTTAGCAGTTTACAGCTATAAAGTTGCCACTCACACCAAAATACTGAACATTAACTGGGCGTGGTGGTGCAGGCCTGTAACCTCAGCACTAGGGAGGCTGAGGCAGGAGGATCGCTGTGAGTTTGAGGCCAACCTGGGCTACACACTGAGTTCAAAGGCCAGCCTCAATTGCATGATGAGAACTTGTCTTAAAAAACAAAACAAAACTGAACATTGATCATACATAAGAATGTCACGTTATTTATCACAGTGTCTTAAATGTGAATATCTTCTAATATCCTATTTCTGCCTTTAAAAAATGTTGCTTTCTATTTTTATGACCTAAAGAGTTTGTGTTACCTTTAACACATTCCTGCCAGCTTGAAACCCTGGTGGTGTATGTGTGACTGCCCCATCGGGAACATTGTACCACTGGTGGTACAAATGAATCTAATAATCACTTTTATCAGTTTTTTCCCCCCTGGTACCAGGAATTGAACTCAGGACCTCGTGCTTGCCAGGCAGGCTCAGTGCCACTGAGCTACATCCCTGGCCTTTACTTTTATCAGTCTTTTTACTAATAAAATTAATAAAAAGCTGCCCAATGGGACAGTCATACATGAAATACAGGTGGTTCAAGCTGCCCAGCAGTGACATGAGACATATGAATGACATCCCTATCCTTTAACCTTTTAACCTACAAATGTACATATATTGGATCAGTGGTTGATTTTTTTTTTTTACTCAATTTAGATCTTATTAACTAGGAATTTAGCCAGTTTATGAGTTTGATAATTTGCTTCTACAATTTTTTTTTCTTTTTTGAGACAGGGTCTTGCAATGTAGCCCAAGCTGGCCTTGAACTTGCAGCGATCTCCTGCCTCAGCCTTCGGAGTGCTGGGATTACAGGTGTGCCACGCCACACCTGACTTAATATACTTTCTTAACCCTGAGTATCTTTGAAAAGGTCTTTCCTTAAATTCGGTGGACATCGTTCTGCTGTCTTCTGTCACCTGAAATTGCAAGACGAAGGTCTGCAGCTGGTGTGACTTTGACTCCTCTGTAGGGAACCTGCTTTCTCTCTCTTGTGTTGCCCAATGAGTGGCACAGTGTCCAGTGACTCCAGGTTCTTTCTGCCCTGCCCAAAGAATGGCCAAGACCGAGAACAATTAAATGGAAATTTGTATTTATTCATTTCATTTTATTTTTTTAATGTCTCAAAAATCATTAAACTTTATTCAGTTCAGAAATATGGATCGCTTCACAGATTTGTGTGTCATCCTTGTGCAGAGGCTGTGAGGAATCTTCTCTGTCTCGTTCCAGTGTTAGCACACGTGCTGGTTTTTCTGAGACAGGGTCTGACCGTGTAGTTGAGACTGACCTGGAACTCACTATGTAGCCCAGGCTGTTCTCGAACTCACAGAGATCCTCTTGTCTCAGCCTCCCAAGTGCTGGGGTTACAGGCCTGTGCCACAATGCCCGGCAAAAAAATTTTTTCTTAAAGTACAGGAAGAAAAAGAAAAACTGTAGAGAGAAGAAAGGAAGAAAAGAGTGAACAAAAGACAAGGCCCCGGAATTTAGCTCAGTGGTTCCACCTCCTGCCTTGCAAAGTGCAAGGCCCCAAGTTTGATTCCTGGTTGAAAAAAAAAAAAAAAAAAAAAAAAAAAAAAAAAAAAGCAAAGAGATACATTCTGCAAGCCCGGTGGGCTACTTCAGGAATAGGAGGACAGACAGCAAGGTCAGGGTGTGAGCACTAGCTTTTTGTATCCGCCCAGGGCCCTCTAGTGGGAAGTTTCTCTGTGCATGCAGCCATACTTGACAGGCTGCATGCGTCCTAGATACGGTTACATAGGCACATCCTGTTCCCAGCCTTCTTTCTGGGTCCTTGTAATTGACAGGTTAAATCCTATCTTTCAGCCAGCCTGACATTGTCCTAATCTCCTACATCACTTGCAAAATATTTTATTTAGGGCTGGGGCTTTAGCTCAGTGTTGCCGCCACCTGCTTTGCAAGTACAGGGACTCAAATTTGATCCCTCGTACCAAAACTTTTTAAAAATTTATCCTTGATGTTTAGGAAAGCCACTGGAATACATTCAAATGTTGCTTTCTTCTCATCAAACTTAGAGGTTACCTGTGAGCCTTCTTCATTTTCAGGCCTGCTTTGTTCTTCAACTCTGGAAAGTTTTCTTCAATTACTTCCTTAATTATTGTTTCAACTTCATTTGCTTTCAGGTATTCCTATTGAAAGGATAGGAGTTGAGCCTGAGACCTGGAACTAGGCTTTTATTAGGGGATGGGGTGTACAGGGCAGGGTGGCGGCCTGTCTTGGACAACAGAGAGAGCAGCGGGCAGGGGCTGGCTGGTTGAGGTTTTCTATGGGCAAGAGGTCATGGTGGAGGTTGGCATAGTGGAGGTAATTGGCTGCAGCCAGAGGTGAGGTTTAAATCCATTGGCAAGTTTAAATTTCCTGGTGGGAAGGACTAGAGGTGGGAGAGCTTTGTGGTGGGAAACTTGGGTCTTTGTTTCCCTGGAGTGATTTATTATCTGCCAGGAAGAGCCATTTAGAATGTGGGGTTAGGGCCATCTTATCTAGCAGGGAATTCTATCACTTATTACTCGTAGATTGCATCTCTTGGATCAGTCCTCTAGATCATAGTTTTCTCTTCTTTTCTTACCTTGACTTCTTTTACCTTTTCCTCTAGATTCCATGAGAATTTTTCTTGCTTTGCACTTATTTCAGTAATTTGGTTTTGTGGTGAATCTGACTTGCACATTTCCACCAATTCTCTCAAGTCACAGAAGTCTTCCCAGTGCTCTAACACTACCTATTTTGCCTTTGAGCACATCTTTAATGCCTTTTATTATAATACTTGGAGCTCTGCTCTGGAGACTGGGGTATCCATTTCCAGAGGAGCCTTACCTTGATTCATTTCTTCTGAATTGTTTGACCTTTTGTTTGTTTGTTTTGTTTTGTTTTTTGAGACAGTGTCTCACTATGTAGTTGAGACTGACCTGGAACTCTATGTGTAAGACTTAAGTATCACTTTTTACTCCTGGAGCATGAACAGCCAAGAGGCTTCCACGATGCTGGGCTCAGAAGCTCAGCGAGGCTCCAGGAGCTTGTCGGACAGCGAGAATCACCCAGGAAGGAACACACCAGGCAAGTTGGCAATTAGACCTTTATTAGTCTGGCCAGACGGCACTCCCCAAGCCAAGTAGCTCAGAGAGGTGGCTAGCTCAGAAACAGAGGCCATTTTATATAGGGCTGAGAGGGACAACTTAAAATTTAAAACTTACAGGAAGAGGACAAAGGCAAAGAATCAGTTGATCTGAGCTAGTGGTTGTCAAGTACTAATGATCAGCAGAGTGATTATCCATTGTTCCATTTACAACCTAGATCATCATAAAGTTCAGAACATTCAGACTACAGGCATGCAAGGAGTGGCGTGACCTGCGTTGGGTCTCTGTGTTCACTACAGTTTCCACCTAGTTTCCCAGCTACTCCAAAACAGCCACCTAACAATTCACAATTAATCATTAGTTATCCTATAAGGGAGGGGGGGAGCGACAGTCTCTAGGTCATTTGCTGGTCAACATGGAATCGCTCTGGTTCAGTCAGGCTCCTACATTCCCCACTGATTTTTGGACCTAAATCAAATCTTTGATTTACTTATATCTGACTCTGGGCCTTACTAAAGGAACACATTGTAAAAGACAACAAGTTATTGCAATACAAAATCCTAATGCCATCACACAGAGTATCAGTTGTTTTACCCAGGTAATGTCAGGTAACCAACTTATTAACCGTTTAAATAAATCCCATCCTATCTGTTCATTATGAATCTTTGTAGCTAAATCTTTGAGCTTTTCTATGTCTTGTTCTATAGCTGGCCCATTATTTGTTAAATTGAAGCAGCACATATTTTTAATCCTCTCACAGCCTTGGTGATGAAGTAATAGCAAATAATCAATTGCCGCCCTATTATCTAAGATTGCCTGTCTCTGTTCCTGGACTTCTTGATTAATTAGCGCCAGTGCGGCAGAGGTGGTATTTAACCCTTTAACTACCTTGCAAGCTAGTTTTCTAACTGCCTTTTCAGCATGTACTCCAATTGAGGGTATACCTATCACAGAAATAATCATAGGAATAACTTCAGCATCTGTTAAAAGTCCCACATCATCATCACAGCCTGGTGAAGTACAGGGAGACCAACGTTTTGTTCTGTTGGGTGGTGAGAGGTCTCCTCTGTCAGGTAAGACGACTGCTAATTTACTAAGACAACAGCAGGCCTCGGTCAAGTTTTCTGGGATGTAATTATAAGTTATTCCCTCACAAGTATAAAACCATCCCAATGGCAAAGTAATATGGCATTTGCTGTAAGGAATCTTTTGTTCTCTAGAACACTTCATTACATCTGTTTGTTTAAGATTTAAACACTGGGAAGTACAACCTTTATATTTGGCACAGAGAGTCTTATTGGACATAGCTACTCGAGGGGTATATAGCTTAATAGCATTCTTTGCTTTGTAACATGTCACCTGTCCCCAATTGTAGCTATCCAAATAACTGAGATTTACTTGTGGGAAATTTTTAAACATAGTATATGGTCTAATACTTTCAAAGTGGGGTGCATACTGGAACCAAACAACTTCCAAGCACATAATGAAAATTCACATCAGCATTTAAACATATTTCAGACAAATTTAAGGATTTGGCTAATTGCACCCAAACATTTTTAGTATGACCTAAGTTCTCTTTGGACAACGCTATTATTGTCCCAAGGGAAATCACCCAGATCATAATGAAGGTCCAGTTGAATGGAGTTTTACTTTCAATTCTCTGGGTTTGCTGATGACACTGCGTTTTCTGTGTGCCTCTGGACTGTTGTCCGGTCCGGCTTTGAGGTGGTTGCGATGGATCCATGTCGGGTGTCCCGCAACCTTCACAGCTAGAGGAGTAGACAGAACAACTGGAAAAGGCCCCTTCCACCGTGGTTCCAAGGTCTTGGAGTCAAACCTGTGAATATAAACCAGTTCTCCCGGCTTATAGGGCAGTGGCTGTAGAGATTTCTCATGAGGAAGGGTCAGAGATCCTCTAACCTGGTTTTGTAGTTGAGACTGTATTTCATGTAAAGCTCTCAGACACTTAAGCAACCTCAAATGAGAGAACTTCTCCTTTAATTCCAAGTCTATATGGGGAACCAAGGGGGGAGTACGCCCATAGATAATTTGGAAGGGTGACAGATTCAGAGGAGGCTTGGGAGTACATCGAATACGCAACAGAGCAAAAGGGAGAAGCTCGACCTAACTTAATTCAGTCTCTAGGCTCAATTTAGTTAAAATCTCTTTTAGTGTTCTGTTAGCTCTTTCTACCTGTCCTGAACTTTGAGGTCTGTAAGCACAATGTAAATTCCATCTAATTCCAATGCTTAGGCTAATCAGTTTAGACACTTTAGCTGTGAAAGCTGGCCATTGTCGGACCCCAGGGCTAAGGGCAAGCCAAATCGGGGAACTATCTCAGTCAGGAGCTTCTTTACTGTTACCTCAGCTGTTTCCTTTTTAGTAGGGTATGCTTCCACCCACCCTGAGAATGTGTCTTTGAAAACTAACGGATATTTGTAACCATACATGCCTAGTTTCATTTCGGTGAAGTCCAGTTCCCAGTGTTCTCCGCGAGTCAGTCCCCTGTATCGGACCCCTGGGGGTCCAGTTACCCGATTCGCATTTACCTTGAGGCAGGTGGGGCACCGTCTCACTTTGTCCCGGGCCTTCTGGGCTAATTCTCTGCTGACAAAGTGGGGCCGTAGCAGGGCCGTCATCCTCTTTTCTCCTAGGTGGGTGGATTCATGGAGCTCATTTAGCAAAGTGTCGGCCACTGTGGCTGGCAGAACAACCTTCCCTTCATCTGTCGTCTGCCATCCATGTTTTCCTCTGGTCCAGTGGTTCTTACTCATCTCCGTTATTTCTTCCTCTGTGTATTCAGGCCTCTCTGGGAGCATGGGTGTAGGTAGCAGCACCATTTGTTTCCCCACTGATTTTGGGGCAGCTTGCTTTGCTGCCTGGTCAGCTGCGTTGTTTCCAATTGCTTCAGGGCTGGAATTCCTTTGATGTCCACGCAGTGAATGATGGCAACCTCCCTTGGCAGCCAAATGGCTTGCAGCAGAGTCAATATCTCAACTTTGTTTTTAATTTCTTTCCCGTCTGATGTTAAAAGTCCTCTATTCTGGTAAATTTCTCCATGTACATGGGCAGTAGCAAAAGCATAACGGCTATCAGTGAAAATATTTATCTTTTTTCCTTTTCCTAATTCCAGAGCCTTAGTTAAAGCAATCAGTTCGGCCTTCTGTGCTGACGTCCCTTGGGGCAGCCCTTGTTCCCATACTACCTGTTGATCCTGATTGACTATTGCTGCTCCCGCATATCGTACACCTTCACGTACGAAACTGCATCCATCAGTGTAGTATGTTGCCTCAGGTCGGGGAAGGGCCAGGTCCATCAGATCTGGACGTCCTCCCCACAGATTTTCAAGAGTCTCAAGGCAGTCATGGATGGTCAGTTGGTCATCTGACTCAGGGAGCAGACTAGCAGGATTCAGGTTAGATGTTGTGGCAAATTTAATGTGCGGCTGTTCTAACAAGAGTCTCTGGTACTGCAACAATCTAGCATTTGATAGCCATCTACTTGGTGAGTTGTGCAACAGGGGCTCAATGGCATGAGGAGTGATCAGAGTTAGATCCTGGCCAAAAGTCAATTTATCAGCTTCCCGAGTTAAAGCAGCAGCCGCAGCTACCATCCGTAAACAAGACGGCCATCCTCTGGCCACTGGGTCAAGTCTTTTGGACGGATAGGCTATAGGTCGCTTCCAAGGCCCCAAAGACTGCATGATCACTCCTTTTGCCACCCCGTTCCTCTCTGCCACATATAAGGTGAAAGGTTTATTTAAGTCAGGCAGGGCTAAGGCTGGCGCTGTGGTGAGTGCAGTCTTGAGCATCTGGAATGCTTGCTGGCAAGCCTCTGTCCATTCAAGGGGTGTATTTCCCCCCGCCGTAGCCTCATGCAGGGGTTTGGCCATTTCAGCAAAGCTAGGTATCCAGATTCTACAGTATCCTATGGCCCCCAGGAACTCACGCACCTGCTTCTTTGAGCTGGGCGTGGGGATCTGAAGGATTGCTGACACCCTGGATTCAGCTAACTTTCTTTTTCCTTTTTCAAGGACATAACCCAAGTAAGTTACCTTGGTTTTGCAGAGCTGTGCTTTCTTCCAGGACACTCGATATCCCAGACCTTGTAGGGCCTCCAGGAGTCCCTCGGTGGCTGTGAGACATTTTTTCTCGGTTGTGGTCACCACTAAGAGGTCGTCTACATACTGGAGAACAGTTGCATAGGGAAAGGCTTTCCTTACCTCTTGTAGATCTCTGCTGAGAGCTTCCCCGAACAGTGTGAGGGAGTTCTTAAAGCCTTGTGGCAATCGAGTCCATGTCAACTGTCCAGTAGTTCCAGTGTCCAGGTCTGTCCATTCAAATGCAAAGAGCGGCTGGCTTACTGGTGCCAGGGGCAGGCTGAAAAATGCATCTTTAGGATCAAGAACTGAATACCATACATGTGTAGGCGGAATGAGGCTCAGCAGTGTGTAGGGGTTTGGTACCGTCAGGTGGATGGCCTCCACCCGGCTGTTTACCTCCCGCAAGTCCTGTACCAGCCTGTAGTCTGATGTGCCAGGTTTCTTTACAGGCAGCAAGGGTGTGTTCCAGGCTGACTGACATGGGATCAATATCCCAGCATCTAAAAGTCGGTGGATGTGTTTAGATATTTTTATCTTAGCCTCCAAACGAAGAGGATATTGTCGGACCCAAACAGGGGTGGCAGAGGCCAACAATTGGACTATTATCAGGACTTGATGTTTTGCCAGCCCCGGTAAGTTTGTTTCAGCCCATACCTGAGGAAACTTTTCTCGCAAATAGTCCCATTTTTGGTCTGGAGAATTTTCTTCTTCTCTGATTAGTTTAAATTCTTCTTCTAAGGGGACTGTCACCAAGATAGTGGGTGGTGACCTGAGTTCTAGATTTCCTCCTTCAGATGCGAAAGAAATAACAGCCCCTAATTTTCTCAGTAAATCTCTTCCCAGCAAGGGGTAGGGACACTCAGGGATGACCAACAAAGAGTGAGTTACAGTACCTTTTCCCAGGTTTACAGTTCGTGAAGTTGTCCAAGGATAAGAGGCAGGTTGTCCGGTAGCTCCGGTAATGGAAGACATCATGGAGGAAAGTGCTCCAAGGGGAGCTTTGAGGACTGAATGGGCCGCTCCAGTGTCTACAAGAAACTTAACATCTGTTCCCCCTATTCCCAAAGTTACCATAGGCTCATCAGGGTTAAGCGGCCATGAGCCATGGCTCTGTCAATCTTCTTCTTCCCCTGTGAAAAAGATTCCTCCCGTTTTCGTTTCTGGTTTCTTTTCTAGTTCCTTTTTCTTTTTCCATTTTTCACAGTCTTTCCTGTAATGCCCTCTTTATTTGCAATATGCACACTGATCTTTATCTACAGGAGGCCATCTCTTTTCCTTATTTCCCCATTTCATTTTTCTCCCCTTCTGTATAAAACCTTCTTCTGCCATCATCATTATACTTGCCCTTGCCATCTTTTTAGTTATTCTATCTTCGAGTGGATCCCTGTTTGTGAACACCTTCATTGCTACACTTATCAATTTTTCCCTATTCTCTCCTTCAAAGCCCTCAATTCTCTGTAATTTTTTCTTAATATCTGGGGCTGACTGAGTTACAAAAGCCAGATTAATTGCCTGCCTGTTCGCTGGAGCATCTGGGTCAATTGGAGTGTACGTACAATATGCCTCCAGTAAACGCTCCAGGAAGGCCGAGGGGGATTCCTCAGGCCCTTGTAGGACCTCGCTTACCTTGCTCAAATTGGTAGGCTTGCGAGCAGCTCCCCTAAGGCCGGCCAGGAGATGCTGACTGTAGTTGTGAAGAGCTTCCCTACCTCCGGTGGAATTCGATTCCCATTTGGGATGGGAGATGGGGAGTTGTGCTTCAACTCGGGCCTGTTGTTGTTGGTCGTCAACAAGCCCCTCAGTTCCCCTCAGCACTGACCGAATAGCGTGTCTTCTAATTCTTTCTCATTCCTCGGATGTGAACAGAGCCTGTAAAAGTTGCTGACAATCATCCCAGGTGGGGTCATGGGTGTTCAATGACCTTTGCCCATACTGCCCGACAAAGTCTTGGTTCGAAAGAACCTTCAGCTGGCCAGCCCACTCCGAAGGCGGGCCACTCCAAGTTGCAGAGGATTCGGAGTTTCCCTCGAGAAAACTTCATTCCATATTCATCTTCCTGCTCAGGGGAAAAAGCCAATTTAAAGTTAGTGAGAAAACAGTCCAATGGGGTATTTTTGGAGCTCGATCCTCCCATCTTGTTCCTAGGAATGAATGTAA